CCGCCGAGCAGAACGCAGGTAAGCTCGGTACGAATTGGGAGGGACCTTACACGATCGCAAAGGTAATCTGTCCCGGCGTCTACGAACTCATCAACATGAACGGCAAAGCGGTACCTAGATCCTGGAACGCAATGCATCTAAGGAAATATTACCGCTAAAAACCTAAGGTACGCATGTACTTGAACTACGGGGTGGCTTGATCCCTGAAAATGGTACGTAGGCAGCTCGTCCTCGGACGAGTTCAGCTACCCCCCCTAATTAAAAAAGGGGGGGAGTGGGTCCGTATACATATATACTCCCACTAAATTTCTCAAATTCTCTAAGTTTTTACCCTTCGGATTATCAATCTTATCTACCTCGGATATTTTAACGGTCATCTTATCGACCTATAAAGCTAAAAGTTCGTTCGGACGATGGCCACGTCCTCGGATAGAAAAAGCTCTTTTCACCGCCTCGGTTACAGCGCGCTATATAAACAGTCGAGACGATTCGGTCGGAGATATCTTGCCATAAAGAAATTGTCTTCAGAAAACCCAGTTGACTTCGACACTGGTACCCCAGTTCGCTTCTAAGCACTGGCTTCGACTATATCAGCTCGGGTCGCAACCGATAAAGATTAGTCCTACTTAACCAAAACCCAGTTATCCTAACACTGGTGCACGATTCATTTCACTCTCGGCTCGAAAGTTAAGACGTTTGGATTTAACTTCTCAACGAGCAAATCTTAAACCCGGTTAACATAACATCGGTGCATGATTCTTTTCGCTCTCGGCTCGAAAGATAAATCCAGCTATTTGACATTAGTTTTGGATTCAGTTCGGAAAATTTTTTAAGAAAAATACTTGACGTAATATTCAAGGGATAAAGCCGTCCAGGCACGTCTTACAAAAAAGAAAATAAAAAGACATCTCGGGATCAGATCGAATCTTGGTTAACCGGCGAAACTTGAGCTACCTCGGTACCTCGGTTCGAACCCGACTGGTCGGCAACGCCTATCGCAGCCGCGACACCCTCGATCGAACGATTCCCAAAGCTATCGTCGACAGAGTCCGGGGAAACCGGAGGAAGCTTCAAGTCCTCTCGCAGCTCGGTCCCGAGACGGACGTACTCATCCTCGGCGTCTCCATATTCAGTCGTCCATTGAAGGACCTCGGCCTTCTCATCCTCTACCTTTTTCCCGTCCTCCAGCTCGGCTATCAGCTCGGCATTGGCCCGCGCTTGCACCAAGTACATATAGCGCGTAGACACCTTCCCGTACTGGTCCATCTTCGCCTCGATAGCCTTGACCTTCTCGGCAAACTCCCTTTTGGCTGCCCTCCGCTCTCTGATAATCTCCTTCTCCCGGAGAGCCTTCTCTTCGGTAAATAACCGATGAAGGCGTGCAATCTCGGCCTCGAGCTTTCTCTGAGTTCGCAGGCTATCCTCCGAAGCCTTCAACCGCTCCACCTTCTCGGCCTTGGCCGATGCCTCGGCCTCCTGTTTAGCCGCAATCGCCTCAGAAATCCTAGCCTCTACTTCGGCTCGGGAGATCTCCGACTTTTCACGAGCAAGCTCGGATTTCCGAGCTCCAGAATCGTAGGCTCGAACCATGGAATTCATCAATTTGAAGGCCTGCAATGGAACGAGAATCGTTAGCAAACACGTATGGAAACGACAGAAAAACACGCAAGGAATGAATCTATACCTTCAGAAATCCAGCAGCGGTTTCACGGTAGTTTTGTGCCTCCAGCAAGGCCTCGAGAGCGGAAAGCTGTGGACCCGAACAAGAAGCGATAAGATTAGCCGAATCTATCTTATCCTTGTAGATGGGAACCTCACTACGGCTCCTCTTCTCCTTTCTGCGTCCTCCCGAGCTATCACCTCGGGGCCTCTTCCCTTTCGCCTTAGCCTTCGCCTCGGCACCCAGAGCTACAATCGCCACAGCCCCTACTGCGTCGGGAACTTCCACATCCGGCCGAACATCACCAGAGGCCTCGGGTCTGGACAAATCTGCAGCGACCCGAACCTCTTCAGTCGCCTCGGCACCATCGGCAACCTCCGGATCAATGTTAACCTCAGGCGGAGTTGACGGTCCGAAAGTCGCCTCTAAAACCCTTTTTTCCTCGGCCGCCTTTCTTTCGGCAGCTTTCTTCGCCCTCAAAGATTGCGCAGCCCCTTGCATTTCAATGAGGTGATCTAGACGGTGGTCGGATGATTCTGAAGAAGACTGGCAGGGAGCTCCGTGCAACAAACGCAAGGCTCTCTCAATTCTTTCCTGGGAGAAGTGTTTCGTCCAATCGCACTTCCGAGCTATTAGTTCGTCGTGCAGGTCTAGAAAGCCTTCGGGAACGTCTTCGAGAAATGACGGGTTCCGATCTGCATAGACAAGAAAACACTCAGTGAAAAGTTTAAAGCAAAACAAAACGGCAAATACGGCTTCGGGCGTAGTACCAATTTTTCTCCATTTTCCAACAACTCTCCCTAAGTAGTCCTCGTGGACACTATACTCATTCAAGGCTACGAAGAAGAAATGGTCGGTGTATTTCTCATCCTTGCTCGGAAAACCACCGATAACCCTCCTATTTGGCCTCGGGGATATGTAAAATCTCTCAACAGGGCCTGGTATGCGCTGGATCTCTAGGAGATTCCTTAAGTGGCTAAGGTCGACAAGGTTAACCGTCTCAATACTCCGGACTAGAATCCCTATAAGATGGCGCAAGCCTCGGGTTGTAATCTGAGACAAAGCGATCTTGTACGACCATAGGAACGCTAAAATCGGCCTCGGGATCGGAAGCCAAAGGTAGCAATGGTAGAAGAACCCCTCGTAAAGGGTGAAAAACCCCTCGGGCGGATCATCTGCTTGCTCGTTCGGAGTTGGAAGTCTTAGCTCAATTCCCTCGCTAAAACCGAACCGGGCCTTGAGATCCCGAAGGGAGTCCTCCGTGCATAAGGTGGAACCCGGGGGATCGGGTTTCCTAGCTTTCTTGGCTCGTTTTCTCTTCTGTTGACCCTTGGCTGCTTGGACTTTAGCTTGGAGCAACCTAGCCGCCTCGTCAGAATCGTAGTAAACCTCCTCGGCCTTAATAAGTAGAGGCGCCTCGGGGGCATTTCTCCAGCACGAGACTCCAGCTTCACCAGTCGCCGGTGGATGGATCCTCCTTCTACTCAAAATCGCCTCGGGGTCATCAGGCAAATCCTGATCCCGAGCCACATTCGCAATCGTGTCTTCCCGAGCAACAAAACGGCTCGGGTCTTCCTCCCATGAGGCCGACTCTACGTCACTTCCACGGTACAACTCGATCTGACGGTCCGTGGTATCCGCCTCGGGGTCGCTCGAAGAACTCCAGACCATCTTTCTTTTGTAGACAGGGAGATGAGTGTCGCCTCGGGGCGAATCACTGGAGTCAGATAGAGACATTTTCTGGCTCAGGAGATTGAAGAAGTTGATCGGAGGAACAAAGCTCGACAGATCGGAGAAATCGACCTAGATCTAATGACGGTGGCGCTACGACGGAAGTATAACGGAAAAAGTAGAGAATATGCAAGAACTCAAGATCAGAGAAAGAAGAGAACGAACCTTGAAAATTTTCCTTTGCAGTTGCAAAATGAGAGAATGAGTCGGAGACTTAACATTTATAGGGACTTAAGGCGCGTCGGGTACGAACAAGCCAAATAAAAAACATCGCGTCCGTGTCTAAGGCGCGTCGGGCACGCACGAATCTCGGGAATCAGCGAAAGGACCTTTCCACTTCTCGAAAAGGAATCCCAACCGTCACACGCCAAGAGAAGATGAAACGACAGAGGAATTCAAATCGCCAAAAACTTTAAAGGGACCGAACTGTTCAAAGTAAACGGCTCGGCCTAATTGTCATAAAGCTCGTCACGCTTGATTCTCCAAACTAACGAGCTGGGGGGCTAACTGTTGGGGTCGGATTCCATCCTTTGGCGCCGAGCCAGACTTAGAACACTTTGGGAGTCTTTTAGTGATCACCTCGGGGCATCGCATCATTCACCTCGGGATATCCATCTAATCGATTTAGTATACCCGAGCCCATCGCCTCGAGGATACTTTAACAAGACGTTTCAAGCACCCGAGCCCATCGCCTCGGGGATACCTTTAACAAGTAGTTTCAAGCACCCGAGCCCATCGCCTCGGGGATACTTGAACAAGACGTCTCAAGCACCCGAGACCCATCGCCTCGGGGATACTTGAACAAGACGTCTCAAGCACCCGAGACCAATTGCCTCGGGGATACTTGAACAAGACGTCTCAAGCACCCGAGCCCAATTGCCTCGGGAGTTTCTGAGCCCACCGCCTCGGGGGCACCCGAACAAGCCATCCTAGAGTGCCCGAGCCAGTCCTTCCTGTGTACCCGAGCCGATTGCACAAGTTTCTCCGAGGTGAAGTCTTCATCATCGCCCGAGGTAAAGACTTGGTAAATATTCGCTTTCAAAGTACCATTTCCAAGCAAGGTATCATTTCCGAACAAAAAGGATCATTTCCGATATACCCGGAAATGATTAGAGAGAATCTAGAAGGATCGACTCAAATCAGGAAATCTCCCAAAGACTCCGAAAAATAAGGAAACTATCCTAATCCGCGATATTCTGAGCCGACTTCAAGATAAATGGAAATCTTCCGAGAATATCGCTGGGGAGGCGGTTTATCACCTATATATAAAGAGACTCAAGGCTCAAGCAAAGGGGAGGCAATATCGCTCTAGAATTTACACTACGCAAAGCTCTCACAGCACAAACATCTTTTTCCTTTTACGATCAAACTCTTGTACGATCAAAGTCATCTTTTTCTTAATAATATCAAGAACACCATCTTTGGTTACAATCGTTCTGTTGTTCTTTGAGAATTCACGATTATCGTATCCCTAAAATAAAACCCTAGACAAATCTTGATTGTGTTAGTTTTGACTTCCACACCGACTTTGATCTCAGCCGTCCATTCTTATTGTTAATGTGATTAATGTACACCATTGATCTGTCTTGATAACTTTGATCTGAGCCGTTCTTTTTCTTAGCCAATGAGCATTAACCTCCACCATTGATGAATTAAATCCAACGGTTAAGATTTTCTCCTTCTTTTCTTTTTTTTTTGGTTAAAACTTCTTTTCCTTTTGCCTCTTCTCTTCGTATGAGAAAATCAAAGGTCCCAAAATCAAACTCTGCGAATCTTGAGCAAGCGTATCGCTCCCTCATCTCCGCTTCCAGAGGTTTATCTCGCACTCTTAGCCCTTTTCTTCCTGAATCTCAGCCTCCGCCACCGCAATTAGAATCCCAATCCCCTTCTACGGTGGTTAGCTCGTTCCTAGCTCCGGTGACGCCATCGCCTCCATCTCAGGAGGAAATTCAAACCAGAAGAAGGAACAGAGAAGAGATTCGAAGAGTGCATGACTGCTATAAGCGTCTCAAATCTTCTATTGGTCAGAGAGATGGTGGTGGGTGCTCTGCGAATCTTGAGCAATTAGAATCCCAATCCCAAGATGAAGGTACTTATAATAAGAAGAAGACGAAGCAGGATGAAGCTTCCCTCAAGGTTCCGTCAGATTTGCAGTCAGATTTTGAATTGAAATCGATCGAATTGAATTCGTATGTTATAGAATTAGGGTTTTTTTATGCTATTCGTTTGTTAAAGTGAATGTCATGTCCGTCATTCGATTAGCATGTTAACTTGTAGATAAGTATATGGTCACTTAATGACTCGGCTTCCATTGGCTGTTATTGTAGTCTGAAGAGGACTTGGAACTAAAGCAGAACCTTGAGCTCTATGTCGAGAGGGTTCAGGATCCCAATCCCGAGTTGCAGAAGGCTGCTCTTGAAAGCATGAGGTAATTCCTGAATCTCTTTAACCCAAATTTAACTTGATCAGCTTGGAGTTTTTGGATTGTTGCCATTGAAGCTTGTACAACTTATCACGTTTTTTTGTGTGTTTTGTCTTGTTGTTCCCACTTGCTATTTGGAGTTTCTTGTTCTCTGGTAGTGGTGAAGATGGACTCAGAGAGGGAGTTTCTAGTTACGTTTCTATGCACTATTGTGTTGGAACTCTTTTATTTTCCTGAGCTATCTCTTTGGGGATTGTTGTTGTGTGGTTTGTTGCTTTATATTGCTGTTAGAGAGTTGGACTCTGTGTATTCAGATTATCAAGAGATTGGGATGGAATCGCCCGAGTCGTTTTCCACCATGTTTATGAAGCCTATCCACCAGCCGATGTGCAAGATATTGCACCTACACAAGTGACTCTTCTTCTGATTGAGCTATCTAGTGCCAGAGGAGGAAGATGAAGATAGGAGACAAGGGCAGATGAATAGGCATTCTATGTAGAGGAGATGTATTGGTCTTGTATTTTTAATTGATGTAGTATTTTTATAAAAGTTTTTGTATATTATTTCATGTAATAATGATAATAAAATATTGTATTTTTTATTTTTGATATGTAATTTTAATCCAAAAATCACAGTAAAGATGATTTAAATACAATTAAAATAATTAACAAAAATATAAATATTATAAAAAATATAAATTATTGAAATAATTAATCAAATAAATATTGTAGAAAAATCAAATCATGAAAATAGGTACAACCCAATCTTAACAATTATTACACGTTATTATAAATATTAATAATAGTAGTGTCATAATCGCTATCGTAGTTCAATTAACTATAGCACAACGAAAAACCGCTATCAAAAGTGTCCGACTTTCTATAACGGGCGATGTTAGAGCGCTTAAGGAAACGCTATGGTAGATGAATAATTGCGTTTTTCGGCCGCTATTAATACCCACATTTCCTGTAGTGACCGCTTCCATCCCATAAACTAATGAGAATGGAGTTTCACCCGTTGCTCGTCTTGGGGTTGTTCGATAAGCCCACAACACAGGTTGCAGCTCGTCATACCATCCACCTTTTCGAGCACTCAGGCGTTTTTTAAGATTGCTGAGAATGGTTTTATTGGAGGCTTCCGCTTGTCCATTCCCTTGAGGATACCTCGGCGTTGAGTAGCTAAGTTTTATTCCCCAAGCGGCACAAAAATCTTCAAAATCATTTGAAATGAATTGAGGACCATTGTCCGTTACTATTTCGTAAGGAGTTCCATAGCGACAAATAATGTGTTTCCACAAGAATGTCTTTACTACGGAATCTTGTATGCTTATATAAGCTTCAGCTTCAATCTATTTGGAAAAATAGTCTGTTAGAACTAATAAGTATTGGACGTCTCGTGTTGAACGATGCATCGGACCGATTATATCGATTGACCACCTCATGAAAGGGTATGGAGCGGATATATGTGATAGCATTTCAGATGGCTGGTGAATAAGAGGAGCGTGCATCTGACACTTTTTACACCGTTTGTCGTAATCAATGCAGTCTGAAATCATAGTTGGCCAGAAATATCCTAACCGTTTGATTTTGAAAGCCATTGCTCGTCCTGAAGAATGACTACCACAAAGCCCTTCGTGGACCTCGCTTGTCACTATTTCAACTTCGGGTCCGAAAATACATAAAAGATAAGGATCACTGACGCCTCGCTTGTACAATGACTCTTTAATTATACAATACTTAGCGCTGATGATTTTTAATTTGCGAGCTTGCCATTTGTTAGATGGTAGTTCTCCATTACGAATGAAATTTTTGATGGGTACCCTCCAGTCAGCCCCCCAATCATTAGCGGAAGTATTATCCTTGAGTATAAACTTCCTTGGTTCGGGTTCGGAAGGAATATCAGGATCTTCGATTGTCTCCTGAACCTCTAGATCACCTGGAAGTGATTGTTCGGTTCGAGATGGTTCTTTAATGGGAAACTCTTGATCCTTTAACTTTCTTTTTGACTTTCTTTTAGGAAGTTCCAATGGTGGAGTAAGTTCGTCATCTTGAGACTTTATCCGTGATCTGGTGATGACAAGTGAACTATTTCTGGAACTTTGTTTTGGAGTTTCAATGTATTCGGCCTCCGAAATGTTATCATTTTCTGTTTCTTCAACCGAAATACTTCGCGAAGAAATACATTCAACTAGGATAACTCGTTTGAGTTCAGGATCTGAGGTAGAAGCTAGGGCAGCTAAAGCGTCTGCCGAAGTGTTTTCTCCTCTAGGTATTCGAACTAATTCAAATTCTTTGAATTTTCCGGCTAATTTTTTGACAGCCGAAAGATAAGCTTCCATTCGAGGAGCCTTAGCTTCGTAATCTCCAGCGAACTGGTTTACAACTAGCTGAGAATCGCAATAAGCTATTATTTTTTCTGCTCCAATCGCAAGAGCAAGCCGAAGTCCTGCTAAAAGAGCTTCGCATACTGCTTCATTGTTCGAAGCTGGAAATATTAACCGAAATGATTGCTCAATTATTTCCTTTGTCGGATTTTCGAGCCTAATGCCGATTCCGGATCCTTGTTTAGAAGAAGATCCATCTACATGTAATTTCTATGTAGAGTCCGATTCAACAAAGATTCCATCATCTAATGGCAGTTCGGTTAGAAAATCAGCTAGAACTTGTGCTTTTGCGCTAGTTCGACTTTTGTATTCTATATCATACTCACTGAGTTCGATTGCCCATTTTGCTAACCTACCAGACTGACTTGGCCCGTGAAGAATTGAGCGAAGCGGATGGGAAGTTAGTACTTCTATAGGATGAGATTGGAAATAAGGTCTGAGTTTTTTAGCAGATATGACCACTGCTAAAGCTAATTTCTCCATCATGGTATATCTCGTTTCTGGACTACTAAGAGATTTACTTATGTAGAAAATTGGCTTTTGCTCACCTCGGTCCTCTCGAACTAAAACCCCACTTACGGAATGGTAAGAAACTGAAATGTAGAGATAAAGTTTCTCATCTAATTCAGGTTTTGAGAGAATCGGCGGTGTTGTCAGATAAGTTTTGAGTTGACCAAATGCTGCTTCGCATTGATCGTCCCACCGAAATTTTTTGTTCCCTTTCAAAATTTGATAAAAGGGGAGACATTTATCGGTAGACTTCGATATGAAACGATTTAATGCAGCAATTCTGCCTGTCAATCATTGGACCTCCTTTATGTTTCTTGGCGAAGGCATAGTAAGGAAAGCGTTAATCTGATTAGGATTTGCTTCTATTCCTCTTTCCGTGACTATGTACCCCAGGAATTCTCCGGAAGGCACGCCAAAGGAACATTTAGCTGGATTTAATTTCATTCCGAACTCGTTTAAAATTTTGAAACATTGCTCGAGATGTGTGATGTGCTCAGATTTCTTAAGAGATTTCACGAGCATATCATCAATATACACTTCCATCGTTTTGCCCAAATGTTCTGAAAACATTTTGTTAACTAAACGTTGGTATGTTTCACCGTATTTTTTAGACCAAATGGCATAACTTTGTAACACTAGATTCCTCTATCTGTTATGAAGGATGTTTTCTCTTCATCTTCGGGATTCATCATGATCTGATTATATCCAGAGAATGCATCCATAAATGTTAAGAGTTCGTTACCGGCTATTGACTCAACGAGCCGATCGATATGTGGGAGAGGAAAGCTATCTTTTGGGCAAGCTTTGTTAATGTCGGTGAAATCGACACATACTCTCCACTTTCCGTTTTTCTTTTTGACTACCACGGGGTTTGCTAACCAGTCCGGATATTTCACTTCTCTGATGGAACCAATTTTCAAAAGCTTATCAACTTCTTCATTGACCGCTTGAGCTCGGTCTGGACCAAGTTTTCTTCTTTTTGCTTTATTGGTTTAAAACTGGGATCGACGTTTAAATCATGGGTAATAATACTTTTGTCGATTCCAGGCATATCTTTCGCCGACCAGGCAAAAGTATGTTTATTTTCTTTTAGAAATGTTACCAACTGATCTTTGATTTCTGAATCTAAAGTAGTACCGATTTTTACTTTTCGATCTGGAAATTCGGAATCAATTTCAATTTCTGTGGTAACTTCACTCGTACTGAGACCACTTGGGTAACGCGAAGTGATTTCTTTCTTAGAGTTTATCATTAATTGCTATTTAAGCTTTAAACAATGTCCCATGAGGTAGCAAGATCACGACTTTTCCTGATCTCCTCGAATGGTTCCGATTCCTGCAGGAGTCGGAAATTTCACACACTGGTGATAAGTTGAAGGTATAGCCCTCATTTGGTAAATCCACGGAGTTCCGAGAATTATGTTGTAAGCGGCCGGACGGTCAAAAACAATAAATTCTACAATTTTAGGAACCCCTGCGGCGAGCACTGGTAGTTTTATGTTCCTCAAGGACATAGAATTGTCACTCGTGAAAGCTACTAATGGTGCTGGTGGACCGATAATGTCAGCCTTACTGATTCCCATTCTTTGCAAAGTGCTTAGAAATATGAGATCTACCGAGCTTCCAGTATCAATTAGACACCTAGTTACTTCAAAGTTCGCAACATCTAAAGTTATCACAAGAGCATCTTCATGAGGTCCTCTTAATCCTTGAGTGTCCGAATTATCGAAAGAGATAGAAGGTGTTTGTTCATTTGACTGGAAACCCACAGCAGTTTGAATTGCTGCTGATTTCTTGTGCCTTTTGATTGATCTGATCGAATCTCGGCACAATTTGGATCCTCCCATTATAACATCGATCCTTTTCTTAGGAGTGTTCGGAGTTCCGGGACCATTGGGCTTATGTTTCTTTTCAGGAGGATTGGACGCTTCGGAATCTTGTTTTTCTTTATGACAAGATTCCACAAACTCCTCGATATTAAAGTTAGCGAGCTCTCCAGCCGCCCACAGTTCGGTGAGGTGCTTTTTGAGTACGCTGCAATCTTTGGTGGAATGCCCATTTACTCTATGAATATCGCAATAGGCACTCTCATCTCTAACCCAGGTATTAGAAGAATTGTACCTTCCTTTGTTTGGGGCGGGTTTTCTTACGGCATTAGTAGCAGGATTAACTCTGAACCGTTTTTGATCTTTTGGTTCGAATTTTTTAGTTGGATTTCCAACGACCAATTTTGCTGGCCGATGCTTTTTAGCGAGGCTAAGCTTTTCTTCTTCTGCCTCCATCCAATTAGTAGCTATGAATAAAGCATCTTGGATAGTGCTCGGACGATTGACGATGATTTCTTCCCAAAATCGGGATTCATGCCAAAGTCCGTTCCTTAAAGCAGAAAGGGCAGCAGCGTGCAACACCCCAGGAATTTTGGCTATCACTTCTTTGAATTTAGTGATATATTTGCGAAGTGGTTCGTTCTGACCTTGGGTTAAATTCCATAGATCTGCATCATAGGTTGCCTTTTCCATGAACATGGAATACTATTTTAGGAATGCGGAGGACAATTCCTTAAAACTATCAATAGATTCAGGCTCCAACTGAGTGAACCATAATAAAGCCGATCCGGATAGATTCTCAGAGAATAGTTTGCAATATCCGGCATCTTCCTCGTCTGGTTCTAGATCAATTCTGCCAGCAGCGATCTGAAAAGCAGCGAGGTGATTTTTAAGATCACCTTTACCATCGTAAGTTGGTAATT